AAAACTGTAATAAAATAAACCCCGCTGTAAAAAATTCAGAGGGAATGTGTAGTTGTGTCTTGAGGTGTAAATTTAAATTCCTCTTTTTTTTTTTTTTTTTTTTTTTTTTTTTTTTTTTTTTTTTTTTTTTTAGAACTTAGTAGAAAAGTAGTGTGATGGAACATCTTTTTAACGCCTCTCAAGTCAGTGCTTGGTTTGTCCCTTCTGGGTTGCTGTAGTAACTTTATGACCCAACGTAACAAAAAGGGAACTTATAGTTTTGGTTAAAAATATCACCTTCTATGATACTAAAAGTTCAACTACTCATATTTTGTGTAGTTCTACACCAATGATACGTGGTTTAAAATATACATTAGTCCCTTATTTATCGCAGGGGTGTCTGGTACATAACCCCCGCGATAGGTGAAAATCTGCAAAAGGGATGTTATCTTTATTTTAGTATTTATATATATATTAAGGCTTTATAAACCCTTCCCACACTCTTGCAATGCTCTTAACAATGTTTTAAACTCTCTAAACGCTCTAAAAGAGCACAGCAAAAGAGAGCAGCCCTACTGATGCTACGGTTACTGAGCCAATCAGCGCCCGTGGACAGACTGGCCATTTGGAACCAGGACATTTTTCTATCCGGTTTGATTCGAGTTGGCTCAGTTCAGTTTGAGGTTCGAGTCGGGTCATGCTTGATTGTTTTAAGTAAACAATCCATGCTGCTCACTCTGGTATCTGCCTCACTGAAGCTCCCACAGCAGCGATGGGGAAAGACAGACCACACCCCCTGCCCTCTCTATGATCACTGAGAGGCCAGGTCACCGGGAAACAATGTGTACTGTCTTACATCGAAAACCCGCGAAAGAGTGAGTCCACGAAAGTCGAACCTTGAAGTTTTGAGGAACTACTGTAATATTAAATATATTTTTGAAATATTTCACATGGGATTTAAAACAAAATGCACATATGGCCAGTTTCTTTCCAAGGCACCCTATCTTAACCCTTGTATCCAGATTTATTTCTCATCGTTAAAAATTGTGCAATACCTTTAGCCAGGCTAAGAGACTTTTAGTGAGCTTTTCAGACCTTGGTGTGTGTATGTTCACATCATTAGAAATTTCTCCACCCCCCCTCCCCCACGCTGTTTTAGGTACTATAATTTACAGTCATATAAATAACATGCTAGTCTGTATTTATGAGCACCTCTTATCCTTGGACTGTAGCCTGCGGACATTGCAGCCTTATTATTGTTTTTACCCCGCTCGTCCCTGCTGAATTGTGCTTGTTTTCTTTGCTACCGTATATCCCTGCTCACTGTAGTTAGTCGGTGTGTGTTATGTGCTCATGCTCAGGTGGGTTCGTGGGAGTTTGATTAATCCTCCGGAAGCCTGTCCATACATCACCGAGCACACCAGCTACTGTAAATGGAGAGCAGAACCGAGGAAGGGATATATTACCTTCTCTAATCAGAATGCATCAGATCATTCTTTTTTCGTCTCTTCATCTTTCTACACAGCTATATCTCCCCTTGTCTTTCCACTCTTTTTTATTTTTTGTCTTATTGTATTCCTCCTTGTTGCATGTCTGTTTTAGTTTTTATTTTCTCTTTGCCTTCAGACACGCAGAGGCTTCAAAGCTGATGGGTAACTGGAGAACTCCTCTGCTGCTTGCAGATAGTTATTCTTTGATGAGAAACGTCACTAAAATCACCAGAGTTGGAAAGACCAGAATAAACAGGTGCAGGAATAAAAATGTGGCCTTGTCACTATTCTTGGGTCGTTCAGGACTGAGTGAAAATAAAATAGAGGCACAAGTAAAGATGAAGCCATAAAGATAGACCAGTGAACCTAAACCTTTCTTCCTTTACGTAATAACATCACCTTGAAGTCCACTTTTCTCAAAACTTACCGAAAGTATAGTTTAACAAGCCTTTAACAAAGAGTAAGCAGCTGACGTGCACACAGGCATTTTGGCTCAATCTGAGCAGACTGAAGGTAACATCTCAAATAGCAGGTGTTGAAATGTTTCTGCAATGTGAGGACCGACCGTTAGGAAAACAAATGTGCATTGCATGAAAGCTTTTTATTATTTAACAGTATTGTTTGACTATAAAAATTTAATTTGGAGCTTATAGTGATCGTGTTTAAGGACCTTTAAAGAGGGATCTGAGAGCAGGTAATTGCAACACAAAACAATCAGTCATTTAGATTTTTGTGGGTCGAGTATCGAGTTCACAGTTTGTGGTCTCCCATCACTTTAAAACTGTACTGATATTGATCATGACTTCTGACCTCCACCTAATAAGATCTAAGATTTGTTTCCAAAAAATAGCATTGCTGCTGTTTGAGAAACCTCAAGCCACAAAGGAATTGGTGCTAAAACGTTTCGCTGAGCTAAAGCAATTACTAATCTGATTACAGTTTTACAGATTACACAAATGGATTGAAGTGCAGCACTCGGTGTTGCCAAATAGTAAGCTTGCTTAAATATAAGAGACTGCTTTTTAACTGTTATATAAATGTTAATGCTTCATAAGGTGTCTACAAACTCATTTATAAAACAGTGAAGATCTGTTTGCAAAGGTCATTTGCCCCTAGATGGCAGCCCCCTGCTCCACACATGGGGGTTGTGGTATCTCTCTGGTCAGTGGTTGCTTCATGAAGGGCATTCGGCTTACACAATAATTTAGTCTTCATGAGAGTTTGCTCGCTGTGGTGACCCCTGAAAAAGGGAGTCAAAAGAAAAAAAAATAAAATCTAAGCAAAAAGTAGGGCATGGCCATCACACCACATTAGAAAATGATTTGGTAGGTTTGAACGCAGTCAGTGAGTCACCAAAACCTCTAAGAGCATCTCTCTGCCCATCTTTGTCCATCCTTAAGAGCAGGACACCAAGACCTCACTCTTCATGATGGAAGCAATCAGGGACATGACCCACATCAAAATGGGAATCTGGACATGGGACTGAGACAGTGAGAGACCAAGGTCCAACCTTTGTTGGCTTTTGTTCATTTCAGATCACTAGAAAATATAACTTTTTTTATATTAAATCTTCACTGCTTGTGCTTTGGATTTGCTGTTTGTGATGAAAACCTGACGGTGTTGGTGAGTCAAGCATTTATTTTATTTTATTTTTACAAAATTGTACTTATTTTAACAGAGAGAGAAAAAAACTTCTGGATGTTGTGGAAGAGTAGATGTTTTTTGAGAATTAGCAAAAGCTATTGTTTAGCATGAGACAACTCTTGAGCTGATTTTAGTGATAAAATGCTTCCATCAGGTACCGTTCAAAGTAATAAACTAAGGTATGTTTACTAAGGGATGTTTTGCTGTCTGACGTTTCAGGTAGACATGGATTGCATGATTCGCTGACATAAGCCGAACATGCCCTGTTGTAAAGCGGTGTCCAAAAATCATCGGTTCCAGCTCTCAAAACAAAGCAACGTGCATGGATGATACACTTCTCCTCACCACAGGAGAAAGAAAATTACACCAATTCAGCTCTTCTGCCTCTGGGCCAGTTGGAGCATCAGCAAACTGGGCACCAACCGCAAAGCAGTGGGAAACACATGCACTTACACGAGTACACGCCGGCACCAAACTCTCGGGTGAGATCAGGTGTGAAGTGACTTCTCCAACAGAAGCCACACAAACACACATTCCCTGTACACCTGAACTCCATGACATTGTTGCAGTGCACCTTTATGTGGAAAAATAAAAAAATAAAAAAATGTCAGGCTCCTAATTAATAATCCTATTAGCACATGAAAGGCAACATCTGGCTTGTTCCAAAAGCAGTCACTCTTTCTTAGGAGAGTAATTTGTTCTCTGGATGAATGAGTAGCCCTCCCGGCGAGAAGGGCCCTCTGAAGATGAAGATGCTACGCCCTTCGTTTGGACGTCCTCGCAGCTTTTACAGGCTGAAACATTTCCCTGAAAGTTTTAACACATTTAAACAGAAATTCAAATCGCTACTCTTGGCTAATTTCACAGACAGAAGCTATTCTTGGTTTTTCTCCTCTCTGGGTGTTTTTTTTTTTTTTTTTTTGTGTGTGTGTGTGTCTGTGGAAAGTGAAATGGAGCAGAGGGGAGATTGTATCAGAGCCTTGATGTGGGCTGTGTTTGAAAGGGAGATGGAGTAATAGTGGGAGGTTTGTCAGGACGAGTGGCACTGACGTTGCTTTCATGTGGCAACTGAAGGACAATAAGGATGCGAGGGTCTCCGTTTGGAGTTCTGATGCACACATCATAAACCCACACACCTCAAATCTTCGAGGAGATACTGGTCCATTATTCTAAATGAGCATTTAGTTAAAGGTTTCAGATCAGATGCGACAAACTGTCTGCCCAGCTCTCATTATCTGTTCTTCTCTTCATTACTGGGGCAAACGATTCACTGTCTTTTTTTATTTTCCTCTGTAGGTTTGGGTATCAGTATGTGTTTTATGTAATGCTCACTCAGCTGCAAAACCGAAAGGAAATGCAGCATCATGCCAGCCCTTGTACGCAAGCACCGTTTTATCCATGCAGCCGATCCGGTCAAGTTAAATCTGGATCAAACCCCTCTTGGACACAGAACAACCCTGACCTGCCAGATGTTATAAATGTCAGCGAGCAATGCCAGTGGGTTTTGTCTTAATTCTAACACTTTCGTTTACATTTTTTGCTACTAAAGTTTTTCAAAGTATCCAAATTATTCTGCAATCACTGCTTAAAATCTCCCATAACCCCTTTCACCCCGGCTGAGGCAACTGAGCATGAAATCGGACAGCGATTTACCTCCTTTTAACCGCCTCACATATTTGGTTTTCAATCAGCTGACTTGAAGAGAAAATCTTCTGTAGAGAAATATTCCTCGTGGCTTATCCAGGGCTCAGTCCCACTGAGCGAGTAGATTTCTCGGATTTCCATCTCCAGAGGTTATTTGAGCAGACTTTTATTTTTTTTCTTCTTCCAGTCGCGGACTGAGTGACGAAATAGAAGAGAGAATGAAAGCAAAGAGGATCAACTAACCTCAGACGGTGAAATGCTGATGTAAAGGATGCGATAGCCCAGGTCCCTGGTTGTGCCCATGCATGCCCGAATCCTTAGTGGATTGGAGGTGAAGCTAGAAGGGGAGGCAATTCCAAGGCAGAAGTTAGGAGGTCGTGCAGGCGGAACAGGAGCAGGAGTTGGGAATAGTTGTTGCACATCTGTGTCCTCTTATCCAGTGGTGTTAGGTTCCTCCAAGCCCCAGACAGAGTCGATACTCCCCATCTAACCCCCCACCCCCCCTTCTCCTCTTCCTCACGATGTCCACTTGTTTTCGGTCGCTCACACATTCATACACACACACGTGTACACACATGCACGCTCTGGCTGAACTCCGGACGCCTCAGCTACGGAGCGGGCAGAATGTCTCCATCGTGCCGCCGCAGTTCTGCTCTCTGGCTTTCTCCGCTTTTTCCTGCTTGTGAGAGCGTATGTGGAAGGTGGGTGAGACACGGAGCGAGAGAGAGGGATTAAGTGAGAAGGGGAGAGAGGGAGGGAGCACGAGAGGCAGGGAGGAGGGAAGGTTGCAATGGAGAGCTCCTGGTTTGGCTGCATCTGTCAGGTTCATAGTCCCATCCTTTTATTTTATCATCACTTTAGAGAGTTTTTCCTCGTCTTCGCTTCAGATCACCTGCTTTTTCAAGAGCACAAGAACTGATCTTCAACTTGGAGGGATTTGTCAAGGCTGCACTTTTCTCCTCGCAACCTGCCAAGAAAGGCAACGGCTGATGTGTTTCAGGCTTGCCGGTCTGCATACACACCTGCGTCTTTAAGTCTTTTTTGTGCCCTGACACCTCCACAGAGTGAGGCTTGTCATGTGTGATCAACCTTGAGAGTTTCATTACAAGTCCATTCCCCTTTTCGTCATCTTGATTTTCCCTGAGTCCCCAGAGTTTTTATTTATTTATTTATTTTGTGTAGGAAGACAATTCCATTTGCCTGTCCCCTACTGTCCAGATCTGATATGCCTGATCTTTTAGTTATTTATCCATCTGTCTCAGGGTTAGTCAGTAGTTAACTCTGTTTGAGCTGGAAAACAATGTGTTTTTAGTGGGTTTGTGGTGTAATGTTAAACACACACTGGACAAAATGAAAAGGAAGGATAAACGCCACACTCAGCAAAGCCCTGATCATAGTAAAGCGGACTTGTGCAAGCCTGCTTTTAGAGCTGTGTAGCTCACTCTTGTTCTCTAACAGGGAAAGCCTAAGTTCTGCTTTCAGCCTCAGGTATCATGGTAATGAGCTGAAGCTCTGCAGACAGCAGCTGCTGCGAAGTGTGTGTGTATACATCCACATGTGTGAATAACTTCATACCATTGTATTTACCAGTGCAGTGGGCATCTTTTGTTTCTCCACACTAAAGATCCTTCAAAACACAAAACATTGTGAAGTCAGTACATATTATCAGAGTGAACTAAAATATAAAGCCCAACTCAACATGCTATTCATTCAACCTTTATTTATACAGGTTAGTCTCATTGAGTCATGAGGAGTCATTTTCAAGAGAGACTGTGTTAAACAAAAATAAATAAATAAAAAAACAGATGAGATACACAACACAGTCGTACAAATTTAAAATGAAAAGTAAATAAAAGTAGTGATATAAACCAAAATAAAAACAAGCTACATTATGAAACAGGGTAAAATACTATAACAGGAACATATTTGCATTGATTTTTGCATTGAACTTAACAATTGTTTAAAATCCCTTAGAGAGGTCAAGGTCTAGAGCTTCAGTTCTTCTTGCAAGGTGTTACAGGAGCAGAGCAAGAGAAGGCCCTTTTGCCAAATTCGGTCCGCACTGAGGGGACACTGCAAGTAATGATGTCTTGAGAGCGCACGCTGTAACTGCACTGATGATGTGACATGTAGGAGGAGATGTATGAAGGCAACAGACAAGGAGTGATTTAAAGATGAAAATGTACCAGTGTGACAGTCTGCGTGAAGTTAGTGATGACAAGTTAACCAGTGAATGCAGGGTGCAATGATGGGTACAGTAGTTACAGCCAGTTATGAATCTTAGTGCATCATGATAGACATTGTCCATCATCTGTACGGTGCTTGCAGGAGCAGTCATGTAAATGTCACTGTAATCATTGGAGGGAAGGAAAGTCGCAACTACATGGTGTTTCTTAGCATTCAGAGTTAGACAGGATCTATTTCTGAAAAAGAAACCCTATTTTAATTTCAATTTCTTTATCAAGTTTTAGACTTAAAGCTTAAAAGACAGATTTGCGTCGACCAAAATTCCCAAGTTTTTGTAAGAATCAACAAACTCAATAGGAACACCATTTGAAGATAAGCTAGAAGGAAGGACTGCCGGTACCAACGTCCTGTTTGAAAACAACATGCCTTTGGTTTTATCCACATTTAGCACCAGTTTGAGACTGAACAAATCTGTCTGGATGATGTCGAATGCAGACTGTAAAAGCTGGACAGCCTTAGCAACTGATTTAGCTCAACAACAAACAACTGTATCGTCGGCATAGAAATGTAACAATGCATCAGGAATGATCTGACCTACAATACTTATGTAGATTGTGAAGAGGAGTCCTAAGACTGAGCCTTGAGGTACACCATTGCTGACAGTTAAATAGCTGGAAGAAGTACCATTGTGTTGAACACATTGCCTTCCATCTGAAATGAGAAAACCAACAGACACTGTGATCTGAGAAACCAATGTCTGAGAGCTTATGACATAATGTCATGGTCCACAGAGTCAAAAGCTTTAGACAGGTCTGAATAAAGTGCAGCACAATAATTCTTAGCATCCAATGCTTCAACAACATCATTAAAAACCTTCAACAAAGCAGCCATTGTGCTGGGTTGTTTCCTTAAACCAAATTGATGGTAAGATAAGATGTTAAAAGAATCCAAATACGTCTTGACTTAAATATTTATCAATTTTTATAAAACCTTAGCTATTATATTTTATAAAAAAATATATATCAAAGGTTTGACCAAAAGTATAATTTCTCAAAGTTTGTTGCTACCGGTATTTTTTTTTTTTCCTGGTATCTGAATATTATGCAAAGAACTTAAAATAAATTAGCTCACAATATAAAGCTAATCTAAGTTATTGTCATGAAGAGTTAACACTGGCAGGAAAACTTCTCAGCCCTCTGAGTCATATTTAATTCAGCCACTTGTTAAATCGCTTAACCTGTTCCAAATATTCAGCACTGATTAAGAGTTTACAAACTTTTTCCAGTTTTTCCACATCTTAAAATATATATTTTTAACCTCCTTAGACCCTGCGTCCACATATGGGGACTTTTTTTGGCTTTGCTGTACCTTATACTTCACTCTGTTCAATAGTGTTGTATACTTTGTTAAGCAATGTGATGTTGTTGTGTTATGCTGTAAAATAAGCCCATTGTCCCCATCTGAGGACTTTTTTTTTACAAAAGTATGTCATAACCATGTAACAAAATACAACTTCCTGTTCAACGAGGAAGCTTTATTTATACATATCAGGTCCATCTAATCACAAATAACTAGGAGATGTGAAAAATGCATCGCAAACCAGAGCTCGGGTCTCAGGAGGTTAAATCTGATAAGACCAATACATCCTATTAATTTTTTTTAAATAATTTTCATTAAAAAAAAACAAAAAAACTTGTTTGCTGGGAACAACTGATCAATCTGCAAACAAGCAGTTTTTTTTGTCTTTGTAGTGAATTTTCTTTTGTTTGTTTTTTTAGGTAAAAATATTGAGTTGAGGTTTGAAACGTGGAGCATGTGAAAGGTTTACGTATTTTCTGTTAGCTTTGAAACACGACTGAGTCCACGATTCAAATGCAAAAAGGTACTAAAAGATTTTTCGAGAATGAAAAGGGATGAACTCTAGCTGACTCGAACTTAGTTTTTTAATATTTTATCTCTTGTTGATCAGTTTTTTAATGTGTAACGGCTTCCTTATACACACAACGGAAAATTGTGTTTTCCGTTCACCTTCTCGTCTCATCTTACTTTTCTGCTACTGTTCATAAAATACTCCTGCATCTTTGACTGACTGCACCGTCTTGCTGCACTAAAAAGACAACACAGTTTTATGAGACTGGCTTCTTACCTCGGAGTGACAATAACACGCTTTGCTCAAAGTCTCATTAAACTGCCAAGCAGAATGAAGCTGAGTATTTTTAGTAAAGATCCAACTTGGGAAGATGTCAACTTTTTGGAAGTGTTTCAAATTTGGAACCTAGTACAGTAGTCCCTCGTTTATTGCGGGGGATCCGTACCCTGAAGCCCCGTGATAAGTGAAAAAATGCAAAGTAGGAATAGTAGTACAAGTAATAAGTAGTAGCTTATTTTAGTATATATATATATATATATATATATATATA